GAGAATTTAATTTTAACTAGGAAGGAATTCTGGAGCCCTAGAAGTATGAATATAAATGTGGGAAAGAATATTCCAGAAAATATGGGACAGTGAATGAGTTTTCTAATAAAATCCTAGCACCACAAGAAGTAAACAGTCGGGCTGTGTCTACACTGGTCACTTATTCCGGAAAATCAGCCGTTTTTCCGGAATAACTTGCCAGCTGTCTACACTGGCCCCTTGAATTTCCGGAAAAGCACTGACGATCTACTGTAAGAAATCAGCCGCTTTTCCGGAAATACTATGCTCCTCCCGTTCGGGCAAAATTCCTTTTTCCGGAAAACTGTTCCGGAAAAGGGCCAGTGTAGACAGCACAGTAGTGTTTTTCGCAAAAAAGCCCCGATCGCGAAAATTACTATCGGGGCTTTTTTGCGGAAAAGCGCGTCTAGATTGGCCACAGACACTTTTCCGGGAAAAGTGCTTTTCCGGAAAAGCATCCTGCCAATGTAGATGCGCTTTTTCCGGAAATACTTATAATGGAAAACTGTTCCGTTTTAAGCATTTCCGGAAAAGGGTGCCAGTGTAGATGTAGCCTTGCTGTTTGGAAAATAAAAAAATCGTGTTGCTGCATGACTGGTTCAATAGTATGGGTACTGCTAGCACAAGTATATTCTTTAGGGAAATGTTTACATTAGCAATATTTTAAAATCTTTCCTACCTAATAGGAACATCCCCATTGTAGGTTACGCTTTTGTTTTTCCACGTTGCAGATGTGTACATCTACCATTTGTTGTGCTAAAACTTACTGTAGGTGTCAATATATGTTCTAGTCAGCTGTGGAGTTAGGGCAATCCTTTTCAGATGGGATGCAAGAGCCTGACTGATAAGGTGACCACACCTCTCTGTTGAGAAACTTACTGATAAGGGGGTGAAAGGCTCTCTCTGTGCTGCCTTGTGTTCCAGAGGACCAGATTGAACCCTAAACAGTGTTCCCTGTAAGCTGTGAACTTGTGCAATTGCTCAGGAGGCATTCAAATGCTGCTCGGCTGATTTGCAGAATGCCTACAGCTAAGTTTTTTGTTGCACATAACAATTCATTCTGCACATGGAGGAAAAAAATCCATGCATGGATGGAAAAGATTTGAGGGAGTATTGACCCTTAGTATCAAATATAAAAACACTTTGTAAAGATTGCAAAACTCCAACAAAATCAACTTTTTATTTGATATTTCAAAAGTCTTTGAAGCCTTGCAGATTAACAAGAAGCTTTCTACACACCTCCCAGATCTAGCATTGGTGTGGGACTAGAATCACACCTGAAGATCAGATTTCTGAAAAAAACTTAAGTTGGAATTCTCAGATGTGGGGACATAAATCTGGGTACCAAAGGTACCTGCACTTCCTATTGACTTCAGTATATTGATTTAGATACTGATATTTGGGCACTCCTATTAAAAAATGGCCTTAAATTGTGTTAATCTTAAAACATATGTCTGAGCAGATGGGTGCCCTCTGATGACAAGGTCATTCATTTCATGATAGATATTAAAATGTATTTATGGAATCACCAGCCCCAGTATCATTTGTATGTAACATGTTGACGCTCTAGGCCAACTTCAGCACCTGTGCAATCATAATCATTTCACCTGGGATACAAAATAAATCAATGTGTGTCTCTGTCCTCAGATTCATAAGATAGTAAGTACCCATGTGGCCTCTATTTTTCTGTGTGTGCAGAACAAAAACTACTAGAACTTCAATTTAAAACCCAGGAGTGCAGTCTCTCCCATCCCAATTTTCTCCCCAAGGCTATACTGCCCCCCTTTTGATCCATCTTATTTGTCATTTACATTTTTATCTTCCTCCCTGTCCATTTACTAGCTGTCTTTCCTCACATATTTCTTTTAACTCACATTCCTGGTAAACATTAGCTATTGCCTGCAAGCTCGCGTACTTGCAGCGATTTTACAAACTCTATACAAGAAGACTAGACAGATTAATGTGGTGAATGTTAGAGCAGAATTTAGCTCTGGGTACATTTGGGCATTATGAGAAAATAGAATTTATGTGATGACCTTGTTTCTAACCTTATTTCTAACAGTAGTAATAATGGAGACTACTTTGTAATGAGTATGCTTTCTCCTCAGTAAATATCCAATTATCTTTTTTATAAAAAAAATTAGAGTTATAAAATTGTGAAATAACAGAAATAGTTTCATTCCATATTAATTATTCCTGAGATTTCTTTTAGAAAAGCTCCACGTTTTTCGATCTTAGCTTCAGATTTACAAAATGTAGGAACTCCAGTTAGTGATGTGGTTTGTAATATTCATTCATATGTGAACAAAAACAGATCAGCAGAAAGAAGGGAATCTTCCCATGTTAGGTGACTGCATCAGCAGATAGCAAATTTGAGTAGGGGAGACAACTTTAAAATAGTTAACCTGGAATAAGAGGTCAAGATAAGAAATAGGCACCAAATGGAACAACCATCCAGCACAATAATAAGGAAAGAATTTCGGAGTTATCATGGGTAAAACTCAACAACATCTATAGCTGAAGTGTGCACTCAAATAAATTGAGCAAATTGTATACTAATGTATCTTATAAATAGACTACCAGATGTATTGGAGCATACGCTTTCGTGGGCAAAGACCCACTTCGTCAGATGTATGTAGTGGAAATTCCCACTAAATCCCTCTGTGGCCCATATAAATCATATGGAATTTCCACTACATGCAGCTCATCAAGTAGGTCTTTGCTCATGAAAGCTTATGCTCCAATAAATCTGTTAGTCTATAAGGTGCCACATAACTCCTTGTCGCTTTTGCAGATTCAGACTAACAAGGCTTCCCCTCTGATACTAATGTGTGTTAGCAAGGGACAAAAAGCAAAATAAGCACCCTCTGAGACCATTACTGTAACTTGTTATTGTCTAGAATACTGTGTGCAGTACTGGTCATCATTCCTCAGAAAGTGAATTGATATAAAGCTTAATCCTGCTTCATTCAAGTCAGTTGGAATTTTGCCATTGATTTCAATGGGAGCAGGATCAAGACCTTGGAGAGGCTGCTGCGCAGGGCACCAAATGGAACAAACATCCAAGTTTTAGGCAAGGTTGAATGCATTACTGGAAAAGAGAGATTTTTGACATAACTTAATAATTTTGAAAAAAACAGGCAATCATGAGAGTAGTGACCAAAATATGATTTTAGGTCTCAAAAGCTTTATATTTGATACAAAGGAGTGGTTAAAAAACCAGTAGATAATCTCCACAAAGCAGAAAGCTGCACTAAACTCAGACAACTTGCCATCCAGTTCACTACAGTTGTTGTACAAAGAATATCAATAAGGCCAACAGAACCCTAGATTTGAGTCTGGGAAACTACGTTTTAGAAGAAGGGCTCAGCTGATAAACTCAGGTGAGGTAGATCAAGCAGGGTCAGGTAAGGACCAGATTGTCTTTTCCTGGTCTTAAAATAGGCTATATACCAGTTTCATGGTTAGAGGTGTGGGATGAGATCCTCATAAGTCAACATGGCACTATTGAAGCTTCACCAATTTGTATCAGCAGATGATCTGGCCCATATAAATCAATGTGCATTTTTTCCCATCTATAAATGCTGTTCATTGGAAGGTGTACGAAGGTGATAGTAAACTTCGCTAATGTTCATTCACAAGTAATCAAATAAATACAATTATTATATGTAAATAATTATATTCCTGGATGATGCAATTTCCCCAGTCTAATTTTGTCTCATATTGTTTCCTTTTATAATAGTATGAAGTGTGAACGGTCAGTTTATACTAAAATCCCCAATACTCTAGGGCCCAGTCCATCTCATAACCAATCTGTGGAGCTTCGAACTAAGTTTGATAGCTGTGTCTTACAGATAGTTAATGATTTTGTGGGGGCAGTTGCTCAGATTTTCTTTTAACTCTGAAAACAAAGCTAATGTGTATATAACAGAGAATTATTGTAAAAATGGATAAGTGACCTTACAGTACAAATTCTGGTTTTTCTGCAAGCTTCAGAGCCTCATGCATCCCTGCAGCTGATAGTTTCCGGTTGATATTCCTATATCTGCATTGTAGTAGATTGCGATAGGTTGTCCTCAGATCCCGATTGAAGAAGGCATATATAAAAGGGTTAATGAGAGAGTTTGCATAACCCAACCATAGAAATGTTCTTTCAACCCAAAACGGGATGCAGCTGCATGCTGTACCACAGATAAAGGGTCTGGCAGTTGAAAGGATGAAAAATGGCAACCAACACACAGTAAAGGCCCCAACAATAATTCCCAACGTAGTGGCAGCTTTTTGTTCTCTCTTAAAAATGGAAATGTTTTTTCTATCATGTTTAAGAAGTCGTGAAAAATTTGTACATTCTTCTGATTCCTTGTGTAGCTTTATAACTCCATTCACAGAAACCATACCTTCATTTTCTTCTGGTCGTGGGAAACCAGTAAACTTGTGTTTAGCAGCACTCTTCTTAGCAGCCTTGTAAATCTGATAGTACATGAAAAGCATCACTGACATTGGGATATAAAAAGCAACTGCAGTGGAGTAAATTGTGTAGCCAAAGTCTTGACTGATTAAACAAACTTTTTCATCATTCACATTTTGAGCCCAACCAAAAAGTGGTGGTATGGTGATAGACGCAGAGAGGAGCCACACACATAGGATCATTTTAGCCATACATTTTCCATTCTGTCTCACAGGATACGTAAGTGGTCTTGTTATTCCAAGGTACCTAGAATAATAAGATAGAGTTACTATATGGTTCACTGATTTATGGGAAAAACCACTTCATGTAGATTTTATTTTACATTTTCTATTCCAGTCTTTTGCACTTTTTTAAACTTGCAATTAATTCAAGTCGACTTATTCATCTTTAGGATAGGCAGAGCCTGCTTTCCTGTACAGAAGGTTATTTTCTTAGGGTAAACCCCTGGTACCATTGGCGTCAAAGGAAAAACTCCCATTCGCTTTAGTCGGACCAGAATTTCACTCCAGGGTCTGATCTACTCTAGGGGATAAATTCAAATTAAGATATGCAACTTCAACTATGTTAATTATGTAGCTTAAGTCGAATGATCTTAACTAGAATTTTGGTGCCTTCCACACTGAGGGAAGTCGAAGGGAACATACTCTCCCTTCGATTTCCCTTATTACTTGTAGAAGCAGGACTACTGGCATCAACAGGAGCACCCTCTCAGTTTGAATTAGCGTGTCTTCACTAGACCTGCTAATCTGAACCTCGGAAGATCAGCTGCATCTGCTTTGATCTTATCTGTAGTGTAGACATGGCTCAGATGTAGAATCTTTCTAATTATGTATCGATGGAAATAAATTTTTGGTTACAAAATTGTGGTTACAAATTCTGTAAGATTTTGACTTAGCTAACTTCTGCAGCTTAACGCTTGGTGATTTATCCTATTACTCTTTTACACTTAGACTTATAACTGCTTAGAGCACTATAAGTGCTTAGAGCAATATAAGTGATACTACAAGAGATATTCTATAAATGAAGTGCCTAAAGCCATGCCACTGAACTGAATAGGATACATTGTGTTACTCCTACCATTGTGCTTCCAAGAAAAAGAACACAGATTTTGCAACTACATTCCATGATTTGATCATTTTAGTAGCACATTATAATACATTTTATTATTTCATAATTAGAAAGAAATGCCATTTCTTCAACACTCACATCAAGTATTTATTAAACAAAATAAAAATATATTACAACTTTTCAGCTGAACAGTGCTTGGGAATAAAGGCATCTAGCTATAATGGATAGAAGTTAGTACATTCAGGTTTGCAAAAGACTAAGAAAACAAATTACATACATGCTCTAGAAACAATAGGCTTTGTCAAAGGCTGTGTCTAGACTACATGCCTCTGTCGGCAGAGGCATGTAGATTAGACAGATCAGCAAAGGCAAATGAAGCCGCGATTTAAATGATCTCAGCTTCATTTACGTTTACATGGCTGCCGCGCTGAGCCAACAAACAGCTGATCAGCTGTTTGTAGGCTCGCGCGCTAGTCTGGACGTTCCCCCTGTCGACATCAAAGCCCTTTGTCGGCAGTCCCGTTATTCCTCGTGGAATGAGGAACAGCTGATCAGCTGTTTGTCGGCTCAGCGCGGCAGCCATGTAAATGTAAATGAAGCCGCGATCATTTAAATCGCGGCTTCATTTGCCTTTGCTGAACAAACAAATCTACATGCCTCTGCCGACAGAGGCATGTAGTTTAGACGTACCCATAGAGTTTATGATTAAAATGAAGTATGCTGCCAGGTTTCCATGCTGTAAATCTTTCTCAAATTTTGAACTTAGAATAAAAATATTTTATTCTAAGAAACATTTAGGACTCAGGTTCTATTTAGACGGTGAGACTACTGTAAGGTGCCATATTGGTGCCCTTATTGCTATTCAGCAAATTATAGTTAATGCGACTTCTTTATGTAAGAATCTGGTGGCAACAATCACTCAGAAACATCACTGAAGATTAGCATCCTTGGCATGGCAAGATCAGTGTAAAAGGTAACTCTGGTAACTGCCATCTTCATCACAGCCTGGACTGGCCAGTTTCAGTGAGCTCTAGTCAAAACATTCTGTGCTTCTGAAGTCTGGGCCAGGAGTGGGCTGAGAACGGTTATGGCTAGCTGGAACTGCACATCCATGATAAGTGATTGCATATTGTAACACAGATACTAGTAAAAGCTATAGTATTTTTGTGGGTTTTGTTCTCTCTCACCTTTTAGATTAGAATATTAGCTCCTACTACGTCTTAGAGATAAGCTGTAGATATCATGGAACATTCTATTCTGTGAAATCACTGGCTGGCTGAAGATTGTGCCACCATGATGAACAGAAAGTTCCCCAAGGCATACCAAGATGTAGAAAATCAGAGTTTGTATCGGAAAGGTCTGGAATTCTATTATCATGGGCCAGAGCGTGCTGACTGGTACGAGGGAACTTTAAAATGGCTATTCATTAATGGGAGCATTTTGCAATTAATGTTGGCAAGGTACAAAGGTGAGGAACAATGGGACTATTTAGAAGAGGCTAATAGGATTTAACCCCAAAAGAGTTAAATTACTAGCATGACTGAGCATTAATCAAAAGTCACTTGTAATGCACAGTTTCTGAGTCCAGAGCAACTCCGCAGGTATTTCCCTTCAGTGGCCCAGCAGTGGCACCTGCACTGAGGCGTCTAGTTGTTGCCTTTTTTGGTGTAACAGGGCGCCTCTTGCTGGCCACTTTGGAAATTAGCTTAGTCCAGTTGAGTACACCACCATCACTCTACTGTCTCCACTGTTTTCGGGGCTGGACCCATGTCACTTCAGAATCACAGTGTCCTCTTGAGGGCCTGGTCCTCCAGCTTTGCCCCCGAACTCCATTGTCTTTCTCCCTTCTGGGAAGTACTGACAGTACTTTGCCTGGCCTCATGCCATAGTGGCGAACTGCACCCCCACTCCAGCACCTCCTTCAGGGGCAAACTGCAGTTCTTTGGCTGGCCTGTCTCTTCGGTGGTCAATGAAGCAAGGGGGGCAGGCCTTTACTCTGGGCCCCCATCCAGGGACCCTATAGCTGGAAGCCACTCACTGCTTCTCCTTTCCCTCTGTCACTACCTGCTTTGTGATGAAACTCATAACAGTTTCAGATTAGAACAAGCACGATCAAAGCATGTTTAGTCCATCTGTTATACAACTCAGAGGTCTCTGATCTGGAGTTTCCAGAAGCAGGAGATTAGTATACAATGTTTTCTTCTTCCCCAGGGTTTACTCTCAAATGTGTAGATTCAAAGAGGGTCATTTACATTCTCCTTTCCCCAATGAATTTTCCTCCCCAAGGTATTGTTCTCCATCCCCACCCAAAAAAAGCCCTTTTGAAGTTCCTAATACCTTCCAGAGATTGTATGAATATCTTAAAGACGATATATATGCACAATTCCACAATCACACACACCGCTCTGCGTTTTAAATAGAGTGGATCCCAAAGATATTAAAGCTACTTCAACAAGGTTTAACTTAATTCAATAAAGTTCATTCAGGATATTACAGGCTATTGTCAATCAGACATAACTTTACAGAAATCAATATGGGTACGTCTACACTACAGCGCTAGTTCGAACTAACTTTCCTATGCGCTACACTAGCGCTTCGCTAGTTCGAATTTGAATCGAACTAGCGGAGCGCTTAGTTCGAACTAGGTAAACCTCATTTTACGAGGACTAACGCCTAGTTCGAACTAGCAAAACGCTAGTTCGAACTAACTTTCCTATGCGCTACACTAGCGCTTCGCTAGTTCGAATTTGAATCGAACTAGCGGAGCGCTTAGTTCGAACTAGGTAAACCTCATTTTACGAGGACTAACGCCTAGTTCGAACTAGCAAAACGCTAGTTCGAACTAACTTTCCTATGCGCTACACTAGCGCTTCGCTAGTTCGAATTTGAATCGAACTAGCGGAGCGCTTAGTTCGAACTAGGTAAACCTCATTTTACGAGGACTAACGCCTAGTTCGAACTAGCAAAACGCTAGTTCGAACTAACTTTCTAGTGTAGACATACCCTATAGGATATGGTTCTTTGAGAACTTTGGACCTGAAGGGCATGAACAACAGCAGACACACGTATATATGTCCAGCTATTTCATTCATTGCCATGGAAACAAAATCAGGCTATGGTGATGGGGTGAAGAATATATAGCCTGAGAAATTAAACTAAGTTTCAGTAAAAGACAAATCTGTGCACAAAACATATTGGTTTCTGGAATACCTAATGGTGCAATTTAGTATATCCAAATGTGAGAAAAAAAGTGTAAGCAAAAATATATTTATATTAATTAAAATGCATTAGTTTTTGAAAATGTGGTGTCATTGTAAAGCTGAGTTCCACAATGTATTCAATTGGAAATTAAAATGTACTAATTTACATAATAATATACTGGTTTTCTTTTTACTATATCTACTTCTGTTAAATGTAATGGATTAGAAAAACTAAGCAGGCATAAATCAAGGAATCTTCACATCTTTTATCTAAATGCATAACCTTGAAAATATAGATACAACTTTAAAATTGTAATAACTGACACTGTCTAATATGCTGCAGATTACAGAACAATTTAACAAAAAATCATGACTTTCTGAACTATTTTGTCACTATTGTGTATCATATAGTAGGTCCTTTAATGCAGTAAGTACCTGAATAATTATTACCTTCCAAAAGTAGGAATCAGTGCCCCCCATCCCCACATTTCAAGTGACCATTTCCCCTGTTGTTCTTCTCCTCTTATCAGCTGAGAGTTGTGCCAGAGTTGTTGACTCAAGTCCCACGACTGGAACTCGAGTCCAACTTAAGTCACCTAGGTGACTCGACTGGAGATTCGACTCAGGTTCATTGTTTGTGACTTGAGACTCTACTTGAGACTTGCTAATTTTATTAAATCGACCTGGTGAAAAAATTGTCCAAAAATGCTAATATTGATGGCTTCTATAAAAGTGACTTGACATTTTTAAAATTAAGACTTGAGACTCGACTTGGGACTTGACTCGAAAGTGACTTTAGGGACTTGAGACTCGATTTGAAGTGTAGTGACTTGAGACTCGACTTGGACTTGACAATGACGACTTGAAGACAACACTGAGTTGTGCCTCCCACTCCTAATCTGAAATCACACTCCTGATAGGAAGCAATTATTTTCAGACTAGCCAATTAGCCCATCATAAGACGGGATTTTCAGGTCT